ATACTGTTATTGGTGCAAATGTCACAAGATTCGCATTATCAAGCTATGTTAACAATTAACAGCGCTAAGCGGCATTATTAGTAGGGCGTCGAAGTGTTGAATCATTCAGAAAAATATTCGTTTTGTAGCTATATAAATTCAGATAGTGTTTCAGTAAGCTGCTAATAGTTATAAACATAAAAAACGTTGCATTTTTAAAACTAACACATAAACAAGTTAGCATGTCAGTTAAATAAGATTAAAAACAACAAAAAGTTACCTTATACTGCCCGATAAAAAAAGTTGAAAAGCCAGAAAAGGTTTTCATGCATGTCATGCATCTGTGAGTATTAACTTTGCTTTCTAAACGTGATTGTAAGCAAGTTTGACTTGAAATAGCGTTTCATTTCGGTATTAGGCAGCAAAATACCGAAATGTCGGTATATCGGTATTTTTAAATTGTCAATATCGCCAAACCGGTATCTAAACAAATACCGGTATATCGGATATATCCGGTATATCGATCCAGCCTAAAACGAATTATATCTAATATGTACGGCCGCGTTTTTTACACGGCCACTACTGAAGCGTTTAGCTTGATTGTTGAATAAATCGATGACTTGCTTAGTTGCTTTCTGTTTTGAGCTTAACCACCGTTTAAGCTAAACGGGCTTGATACAACTGGCCCCAGACTCGGCCCCAGATAAACATTTTTGTATTATCGAGATCGAAACTATAGTAAATTGGAAACCGTGTCAATAATAAAAAACGTACAATGAACTTATAAACATGCGGAAAATTTTAAAAATTTGTATAAATTTTGGGCGTGACAATTTTCCGCATGTTCATAAGTTCATTGTACGTTTTTTATTATTGACACGGTTTCCAATTTACTATAGTTTCGATCTCGATAATACAAAAATGTTTATCTGGGGCCGAGTCTGGGGCCAGTTGTATCAAGCCCGTTTAGCTTAAACGGTGGTTAAGCTCAAAACAGAAAGCAACTAAGCAAGTCATCGATTTATTCAACAATCAAGCTAAACGCTTCAGTAGTGGCCGTGTAAAAAACGCGGCCGTACATATTAGATATAATTCGTTTTATCAATTCATTAGAATGATCATTTTATATGATAACCCGTTTATACTGACCTTGCATATAAATATCTAATGAAATACAAATTGTCAAACACAAAAACCTGGTGGTCATCGAGGTTTATGACGATTAATACGGCTGATTTGTAATTTATCCGTTCTTCTTATAATCGTTGTTTACAATAAATTGCAAAAATAATGCCCAAAATTCCAAATGCACGCAGTCAAAAGTGATGTGAAATCTACAAGAAATCTCGTGAATACAAAATTACTTATGTTAAACAAATAAGTCCAGATGTCGCCTTCCCCCCCTAAACACATGATAAGTCAATGCGGCCATCTACTTCCGGCTGGTCGAAATTGACCAGCCGGAAGTATGTCTGCTGCCAGATGTTACAAGTCTCTCTTCTCTTTCCTCCTCTCCCCCTCAGCGGTACGTCATGTAACGTACAATATAGTGGGTCTCCACAAAGAGAGTCTTGGAGCAAGTCTATTGACAACAGAGCCGTAGGGACTTGCTGAAACAACCCGCTACAAACCTGTTACTAACAAGAGATAACAGGTCTGATAGAACAACTTGCAGCAAGTCTGTTGAAATCAACAGGTCTGTTCCAACTTGTTCCAACAGACCTGTCGCGAGTTGTTTTTGTCAAGTCTGCAGCAAGCTTGTTATCAGACCTGCGACAGACCTGTCCACAACAAACAATTTTTGTCCTGTCACAACAAGTTTCAACAAGCCTGTTGTTGGGAAACAAATCGAAAATGTGAGTAAAGAGAAAAATCGCACGAAATGGACACGTCCGGCTTCACTTTCTCATTCAAGGCAATATTAAATCACATGCAGAGGAGATGAGGCTATGTGCACACGGTAACGTTTTCGAACGTTTTCACGCTAAAACGGATGCAAACACTATCAATTTAATACAACAGAAGCTGTAGTTTATTTAATATATTGGAAATATATTTTCCTTTGGATCGTGTGAACAGGGTGTCAAAACGATTAAAGGAAAAAAAGGTTTTGAAAACGCTGGAAAACGACGCCCGTGTGAACATAACCTAAGTATCTACTCTGTGATTATAAAATGCAAAAGCCGCTGCCGCTGTTTTTAACTTTTTATATTTTTAAAAAATAATTCCGATTTCCAAATTCCAATTTGCTGACGTGTGCTATCGTTATATTTCTTTAATCTGATTGGATAAAGGCGTGTGCACACGTCATCATTCCTCGTTGCAATTGGACGAAATATTACAAACATATCAATCACGTAATCATATTTAGTTGTTTTTGAATTTTGACTTTTTGACTTTTGAGCCAAACAAAATTTCAACAACTGCCTCAAACAAAATCAAACAAGTTCAAAGCTGTTTTGATTTTTGAAGAAACTGTGGCAATGAGAAAACAAGATCTAGAGCTTAGGAAATGAAAAATACACGAGCAACCGAGTGTTCACTGCAACGTTCTTCATTGTTCAAATGAATATGAAATTCGTTATATACAATGATTTCTTTCCAATTTCAAGTGAAATCTGCGAGCGAGGAAGACGCCTTATTGAAGCTTTGTGTTATTGCATGTACTATTTTGAAGAAGAATATGCAAGTAGGTTGTCATATTGCCACTCAATGGGTTAAAGCATAAAAATATTTCTAAAATCACGAGCCGCGCAATGTTTTAGAAAACAATAATCTAACTAATCTGGACGTTTTTGACAGTCATATGCAATGGTCAAATCGCAAACATTGGAATATGGTTTAGAGCCCACAGTAATTGGTTTTTATACTGTTGTGATGACACTGCCACTCTTGTGCAGGCCTAGAAAATTTATTTCTCTTCCTGGCAGCAAAATTGAAAAATAAAAATTTCCTAGTGTAGATCAACGTATGGTGCCGCACATTGTGATAAACTTCAGTATGGGCACAAGACGCTTTTGTAAACAATAATTAAATTATATGCATGGCATGCAGTCCAGTATATAAGATGACAAAAATTTCCTGCAAGGTAAGAAAATTTCCTGCGAAGATATTTTGGTAAAAATTTCCTGGCAGCGGTGCTGCTGGCGCTGCCGGACATTTTCCAGCACTGTTCTTATGTGATAAAGATATCATAAATTCATATGATATTTCAAATTAGGTGGGCACCCATTTATAGAAAATCATGAATAGAAACAAAAATCCTAAATCATGCCTATACTAAAAACTTCAAATTCCTATCAACATAGCATGTAGTTGTTTCAGATACATATATATTACAGAAAATCTATTTTTTCCTATATTACAAATTTAATTTAATTAACTTAATAAGTATGTTTTTGTCATTGAGCAAGGATTGAGAAATAATGCAGGAAATATTTAATGCTTGCATATTTTCTTTGCCTTGAATACTTCATTGTGCACAAAATGACGAAGACAAATTATGCTATACGTTAAAGAAAGCAATGTTGTCCCAAACGTTGTCTATTGACCTTGTTTATATACAATAAGTTCTATTTAAAGTAACACACCTGATTGGATAATAAGTCTATAGAAAATCATAAATAAAAACAATCGTAAATCATGCCTACTAAAAACTTATTCAACCCTAACAACCCAACACAGCATGTAGTTGTATAAGAACTCTATTATTTTCTATATAAAAAAATTTACAATCTATATATACATTAGGGGCATTTATAGAAAATCATAAATGAAAATAAATCCTAAATCATGCCTACTAAAAACTTATTCAAATTCCTATAAACATAGCATGTAGTTGTAAGAAGCATGTTTCGTGATATATTTATGCCGCAATTTTTGCTTTTTGCATGTTTTAAACATGCATCATTTTTACTACCCTGGTTCCAGAGGTTTAAAATAAACCTCTGGTTGAAAGCGGCAATTGATTCATCGAGCCGCGCCAATCAGTTTGAATTAGAGTCAGATCCTGACTCTGTCTCCTGATTGGATGATTGTATTAAAGCTCTCTGATTGGTTATAGATGTTTTATTTGAATCAATCAGAGAGCTTTAATACAATCATCCAATCAGGAGACAGAGTCAGGATCTGACCCTAATTCAAACTGATTGGCGCGGCTCGATGAATCAATTGCCACTTTCAACCAGAGGTTTATTTTTCCTCTCCCCTTCGCAATGAAAATAATAAAAATAAACCTCTGGAACCAGGGTACATTTTTACAGATTTCAGTCCGCCATATTTTTAGATTGTTACACTCCGCAATATTGTTTCCACTTAATTGGGCAGCCTTACTTCGTTCCTATTCACAGGGAACCCCCATTTTATCACTGTTATAAATATCCACTAACCTTACAATATCCTTCTTTAGTAATTTAAGGTAAGTAATCGTGCCAATTTATACAAGATATTTGCCCAAGATATCCCTCATCATATTGCACATTTGCCCAAGATATCCACCAAGAAAATGCAGATGGTGTAGGTTTGCCAGCAACACATCGTCATCCATTCATTACAATGCCCGATGTCTCCTTGCAACAACCAGGACCAGCAGAAAAGAACACATTGTGTTCCACACCATTTCACTAAAATGATGAATTTTAAAACAAATTTAGCTTCAAAATACCCTATGCTTTATGTATTTCTCTCTACTAATTTAAACTAAATTTCACAAAACATTAATTTAGGGTATAATTCAATATTTTATCTTATCCCGGAACAAACATCAAACGCAAAGCAACTTGCAACGGCAATCGAAACATTTGAATTTTGAAATGTCTATATTATCGAACAAAAGTTGAAAGAAGCAGTTTTATAGGCTGCATTAATAGATAGATTGATAAATTTCCTGAATTAAAAGTTTAATGGAGCATCAATACTGCGCCTTGTCCAATTTGATTCACATTAAAGATGTATTTGCATCTTGCTATCAGTTTATATGGGAAGAGTTTATAAATATTCAAAGTTCTAACACCGAGAGTAGCACGACGACTTGGCAAAAGCCACAATTTTCTGGAGAAACCCATCTTAATAGTCATTTGCAAATTGAACTCTTTCATTGACTCTCACATCCGTGAACTAAGAAAGCGTGGATGCCGTGTTACTTCACTGTCAAACGAAGAGGACGAGAAAGCAATACTAGATGGAGAGAGTTTAGGCCACATAAAATAAATTCCTTGATTCTCATCACCGCCCGACTGTATTTTAAGAGCCGCATGAAATTTTTTTATATTTTGTTATACAATATAAATGTACCGCTCGACAAAATATTTCAAGACAGTTAAGTTTTTTATATTTTATATTGGGTTTTTAGTGCCATTTTAAACTGCCAATTTCAAACAAATAGAACTTTGAAAGAAATTTCATTGCATTTTAACGGAACTTCGCATTCAGTTCAAGGACCAATCATTGATCATGGAGAAATATGTTTATAATTATTTCAGTTTGTGACACTTTTATTTATTGATATACATTAAATTATATAAATATAAAATATAAACCTCCCGCCTGTTCGATATTTTCAAAGTGTAGTGATGAGAATCAAGGAATTTATTTTATGTGGCCTTACATTTGCATTTTGTAATCCCGACTCCCGAGTCTATTATTCGAAATGCGAAATGGAGAGGAATGGTTTCATTTGAAATCTACAAGACAACTTCCCTTGCTTTTGTAGTAACAGACAAGACAAAGTTCACGTCGGCCCAAAGAGGTGTGTTTAATAAATTTAAATACAGATTTTTTTTAATCTATATTGTATATTGCAGGATTAAATTGAATGTATATTACAAGATTAAAGTGAATGAATATAAATATATATTTATATTAAATTGAATAGATGTGATGTTTTAAATTGAATGAAATTCAGGAGAATGAATATTGCTACAAATGGACAGGCATACACTGGACAGTATACATGCGATAAAACCCTTTATTATATAAACATAAGTGTTATATAGAGTTTTTGGCCACTGAGAAAAATCGTATTTAAACACACGTAAAAATACGATATTTTTACGTGTGAAAATATCATTTGTTGTAAAACGCATTGCCACAGACGTTTTATTGTTTTTCACTGAATTTTGTTTATATAATAAACAGAAAAATACATGGGTGCTTGGAAATACCATATTTATTTCTCGTGTTGGACATGATATCTCACTCGTTCGCTGCGCTCACTCGTGAGATATCATGTTCAACACTCGAAATAAATCTGGTATTCCCGCGCACCCATGTATTATTCTCTATGTCTAGACGGCCTGGCGTCAAGGATAATGATTGGATAATATTTTTAGAATATGATGCATTAAGCCATTATCGAACCAGGAATCGGTAACAAATTCACCAGAGGTTTTTCCTTTTTCTTCGCGTGTTTTCTCGCATTTCACGTTTGCCAAACCCAAAAAAACCTCCGGGCCAGGGTATGTCAAATGCAACTTAGGGGACCACAGGCAAATCAAGATCTAGCCAGCTGAGCCACAGATTAAGTGAAGACAGATGTATAATTTCAGTAAAAAAGTTGTCCCACAATAAGTTCTTTGTATGTTTGCATGGCGATAAAACATATAATAGTTTTGTTTGTGGAAACACCACATAAATTTATTACTGCAAAGCTTTCGATCCGTAAGCCCGGATGTTCATCAGCGTTAATATGAGCCAACAAATCAAGACATTTTTTGTATATAAAAAGGGTGTGTGAATTAAACAAGTCTGGTACCACCTATTTAAGTTTAGCGTCCTTTATAGAATCATTTGCATACACATTTGTATATTTAGTCAGAGAACGTTCAATAAATAAATTATCTGCACTTCTGTTTATTTCAAAACTTTGGAAAATAAAATTTCTATTGAACCAGACAAGAATTCTGGAAAATTATCATCATGTTTATAAACAAGCTGCAGGGAAAACAACCACAAAATTCTCCAGAAAATTGGGCTATTCCATTTAATATCAATAACCTCCCTTTTTAACTCAGGAATTCCTCATGGGTAAACAAATTCTCCTGTGGAATTCTGCAGGGGTTGGTTATTTCGAATGTAATTTCCTTAGGGGTCAGATGTAAAAATTGTAATTCTTCAGGGGTAAATGTTGATTTCTTCAGGGGTAAATGCTATTTAATTAACAGGAATTATTCAGGGATTCTCTTTTTGAAGAAATATGGAATACAGAAAACCATTGTCCTCGATAGGGGGGGAGGGGGTTGCGTCTTTTAAATGGAATAGCGCAATTCAAAACAAGCCCCAAAATCTTGTAAAACTTTCTGAAAATTGTTGAGAAACATTTCTCTCGTCAACACTATATTAAACTTTTGACCGATAAAAAGCAACCAATGAAGGAAAATTCATTCTTGACATTTCTTACTTAGGCCACATAAAATAAATTCCTTGATTCTCATCACTACACTTTGAAAATGTCGAAGAGGCGGGAGGTTTATATTTTATATTTATATAATTTAATATATATCAATAAATAAAAGTGTCACAAACTGAAATAAACATATTTCTCCACGAACAATGACTGGCCCTTGAACTGAATGCGAAGTTCCGTTAATGCACTAGTCAATTGAAACTACGGCCCCCCGACCCCCGCGGCATAGCGGGGAATTAACGCGGTCAGGGCCGTGGTTTAACGCTACAATTTCCCGGGGATACCGGGTATTTAACGAAAATATAATTTGCCGGAGAAAAATAGCGGGGATTTAACGCTCGGCTAAAGGACTGTAGAGGCCTGGGTACGAGTTCGCTTGCTTGTCTATTCAATATGGCGGATTCGTTGCAGTCACAGAAGGTGCGCAGGGTACGAATTAAGGTGTCAAAACAGCTTCGCAAAAATTTTGGTAAATAAATACTGCCTCTTTCAAAACCATCCTCAGAAATACCGTATGAAAAACTAGTTACATATTATTCTGACATTGCAGAGTACAACGAAATTCCGAAATTCATTGTCTCGAACGAGTTCGAATCCCGCTTGAGACAACGAACTTTTCGTTGTACTCTGCAGTGTCTTGCTGTACTGGTGATTACTATATTCAGCTAGCATATTAAAATGCAAGACAGGTCATTTTGTTAAAAATGTTAGTTATAACTTAAGCAACAAGCAATACTTAATTTGTGTGTTCACAAATAACTTTCAAAAATAATTACTAGCAACAAGGCCACCAATGTTCACAAAAAAACCCTGTTTAACCTTTATGTAAACGTTTCTCATATCTGCTCGTACCGAAGGAAGTCTAAGTAAAATCTAAACTGATTTAAATATTGCTTACAATAGGAAACAATTGAATGAATAAGATCGAAAGGCAGAAATATATGTGTCGTGTTTTCATGTGAACTGTCAAAACATTCAGAAATGCGATTACATTCCTAGGCTACGCCCGTGTGCCAATTACTGGCATTTTGACAAACTGCAAACCATTTTACTTTTAGGCGTAAAGTAAACATCCGGTTTGTAGTATTTAGCCGCCCTTAATATTAACCGTGACTGATTACAGCATAAATTGGGATTGTATGACTGCAACCTGACTACAAAACAAAAATCAAAGCCTCGTCAAAACAATATAAACAGCAGACAAACAAACTAAAAGCAAAAACAGCGCGTTCGGCTCTCTTATATTCATGTTCGTTATGTTTATGCAATATATTTTCAAAATTTTCACTTCGCATTTTCCCGTTTGCCAAGCAATTTCGCTTCGCAAAAATGTACAGATGCTTCGCAAATTGCGAAGTGCGAGCCGTTA